TTTGCTGTGTGGTCTAGAGAGTTGCTTCTCACATCTTCCTCTCTTTACCAAGAGAAAAGGCAGCAAAAGGAGGCAGCTTGTCGTTTAGTGTGTGTTTAAAAACATGCCTTCTAGTGAGTCCTTTGGTGGAAAGAACAGCACCACGTACCGACGCTTTCAGCAGTTACATTCATCTCCATAGATAATTAGCTCTCCATAAAGAGATGTATTTTAGCAAACTGATGGAGTCTGAAGCCTCTGGTCTATTTGGTTGCATTATGCCAATGTCAGTTTCTTACTTTGGACAAGACAGTTCCTTTAGGACAGTGGTTCTCAACCTGTGGGTCACAACCCCTTCGGGAATTGCATATCAGATATTTTTATAATGTGATCCATAATAGTAGAAAAATTAGTTATGAAATAATTTTATGAGTGGCAGTCACCACAACACGAAGAACTGTATTAAAGGGTCACAGCATTAGGAAGACTGAGAACCACTGCTTTAGGAGAACATTGGTAATAGATAGAATGAGGTAATTTTGTGCTGGTTTTTCACAATTTTGTGAGCCTGTAATTATTTTTTAGAGTTTACCAAAAAAATACCTTAATTTATCTGATGATTTGCCTATCAACCTTCATAGAACTAATAATAAAATATTGGAGGAAGAACTGGGAAGATAAGACTTGAAACATAGGATATCAAGCCATGACTATTTATCATGTGGCTAGATTAAAAAAATAACAAATATAGTAAAAAATAATTCCCAAAGTGCTCGTTGGATAGCAGAAGTATTGAGAGAAGCCTGTGCAGTATTTTCATGCCAAACATACTCAATATAGTGGAGAGAGGCTTACATATTAGAAATGAGGAAACCGAGGCAACAGATGTTAACTGAGTTGCCAGGTAGGATCCTGTCTTGTTCCCTGTTTTCTCCCTCTTCCGATGTCTATTCCATTTGCTTTCTGAGGATTGAGCAACTTCCCTAGGGTTCACCTTCTTGCTTAGGTTCTTTAGTTGAACAGATTTTAGTATGTTTATTCTATATTATGTTACTAATATTCACTTTTTCTTTCCTTTCAAAGGCAGAGAGGAAAAGAGTTGATTTGACTCTTCAGGACAGAGACTGTGTCTTTTAATGAATGAATGGATGAATTATATCTGGTACATATGTGTAGGGGGTCTAGGTGTGCCCTATGCATGTTCTCTGGTTGGTGGTTCGGTGGAGACTTAATCTTATGTAGTGAGGCAGGGTAGATGAGGAGGCAGAGAGGCCTCTGGGTACAGGAGCAGCATGGTGACTGTTGAGCATGGAATGCCTTTTGCCAGATTTCCTGCTCTGAGAGTAAGAGAGCGGCTGGTGGGACTCGAGGGTGGGACTCCAGGCCCTTGTCTTCTCTTTCCTGCTGTTACTATTGCTGTTGCTATTTTGCATTGCTTGATGTCTTAAGGTTTCCATTGCTATGAAGAGACACTATGACCAAGACAACTTTTATAAAGGACAACATTTAACTAATTGGCTTACAACATTTAATTAATCTGGTTTACAGAGGTTTAGTCCATTATTGCCATGGTGGAAAGCATGGCAGTATCCAGGCAGACATGGTGCTGGAGGAGCCAAGAACTCAACATATTAACCCAAAGGCAGCCATGAAGCAACTAGCTTCCACAGGCAGCCAGGAAGAGGTTTTCATGAACAGAACTGAAAGCCCGCCTATGCAGTGAAGCACTTCCTCCAACAAAGCCATGCCTCCTCATAGTGCCACTCCCTATGGCTAAGCATTCAAACACATGAGTCTATGGGGGCCAAACCTTTTCAAACTACACACTGAACCTAGGCCTCCCTGATTTGGCTAGGACGAATAGCCAGTGAGCTCCAGGAATCTGCCTGTCTCTCCATCCCACTACTCCCAGCACTGGAAATACACATGAACCTTTTCTCCCAGATTATTATTATTTATTTTAACTAAGAAAAGTTCAAACATTTCATGCATGTAATCGTAATGCACTTTAATCAAATTCACCTCTTTTTTCTTCTGTCCAGCTTCTACCCTCTCCTTCTCCCAACACATTTTCTTCCAAGCTTTATGTGCTCTTAAAAAAAAGATCCTGCTGAGTCTACTCTGCTGCTGTGTGTGACTACAACATCCTCTGCTGAAGCCTCAGTAGCTTCTTGGAAGCCATATCCCTAAGACCACTGACTGTCCTAACCCCAGCACCCACTGTTACTAACAGGCTCTCCCTGTTTGCCTGTTTTTTTGTTGTTGTTGTTGTTTTTGTTTTTGTGCATGTAGTCACAGCCATTTGGCTTGTTTTGAACCCAACTGTTAGATGCACAGCTTAGCTATCATTTTCAAGTTCTAGTGTGAACTGTTGGATAAGAGTATAGCTTGTTTTGGTGGTATAGATGTGTGTGTGTGTGTGTGTGTGTGTGTGTGTGTGTGTGTGTGTGTGTGTATGTGTGTGTGTGTAGAAAGGAGTTTTCAGAAAAGAATGGTGTTAGTATCCATATTAGAAGAAGTATAATCCTTCAGTGAATGGATTTTGAGGGCTGACTCAATGTAGCACAGTTTATAGACATTGATATTAACCTGTTTGTGTTGTTTCATATTGTCATGTTCAATAGGACCTAGAATATGAGGCATAAACTCCCATTTGTTTGTGGAATCAAATAAACAGATCAGGACACAGATTACTTCAGACCTTTGGCTGTTAGTTTTAGAGCTCTGTAGTCACTTACTCTGAAAACTCTACCCAGCAGAGTATCAAAGCAGATGCTGAGACTCATAGCCAAACTCTGGGCAGCGTGCAGGGAATCTTATGAAAGAAGAAGGAGATAGAAAGACCTGGAGGGGACAGGAGCTCCACAAGGAGAGCAACAGAATAAAAAAAATCTGAGCCTAGGGGTCTTTGCAAACACTGATACTCCAACCAAGGACTGTGCATGGAGATAACCTAGAACCCCTGCATAGATGTAGCCCATGGCAAATCAGTCTCCAAGTGGGTTCCCTAGTAAGGGGAACAGGGACTGTCTCTGACATGAACTCAGTGGCTAGCTCTTTGACCACCTCCCCCTCGTGGGGAACAGCCTTACCAGGCCACAGAAGAAGACAATGCAGCTAGTCCTGATGAGACCTGGTAGGCTAGGGTCAGATGGAAGGGGAGAAGGACCGCCCCTATCAGTGGACTGAGGGAAGAGTATGGGAGGAGATGAGGGAGGAAGGGTCGAATTGGGAGGGTACAAGGGAGGGGGCTACAGCTGGGATACAAAGTGAATAAATTGTAATAATCAAAAATAAATATATAATTTTTTTAAAAAAAGAAAGTAAAGAAAGCCTCATAACTGCAAACCATTCTCAGTGCCTCTGACTCAATGCCAGTTAAACAGGAATAATGATTCCATCATAGGAATCTGGAAATAAAAGTCAACCTTCATTGTTGCAAAGAATAAGAACAGCAAGCAATGTTCAGCATAAGTAAGCACTCTGTGTTTATTCTCATACACTTTTAATGACTTACTGAAAATTGAAATTCCCAAGAGCCTATTTAACCTACAACAGGTTAAGACGAGTGATATGTTTTCAGTTTAGTAAAATATTTTAAAGGGTGACTTTCTTTAGGGGAAACCTGGAAGCCAGCACTAAAACATCACTAACTTCATGCCAAGACACCCAGAGCTGGCAGGAGCTAAATCACAGAGCAATATCACAAGATTCCTTAGCACCAGTGAGGCCATTGTCAGGAATGCCTCATGTTGTGTGACATTTGACTTAGTGATTCTTACACTTATTATAGTCGTGTGTAAACTACACAGACACTGTAGTGTATAAGTGCCAGAAATGTGAGAGACAAGCAAAGCCTCGTCATACCCACCCTTCAGCTGTGAAAAGGGAGATTCTGAATGGCAAAAAGCTTCTTCTAAAATCACATGGCAATTATACCAGTTTTCAAGCCTCAGCTTTCTAATTCCAGATCTTTGACCTCTCTTAAGCCTCTAACCATTCCCAAGTCCTCTTTCCTCCTTTAAGAATGAAGTGCATGAAAGAAAAAAAAAAAAAAAAGAGCTTCTGAAGTATTTTCTAAAGTGAAGGTATGGTCTGCTTTGCAACTCCAGGATTCACATTTTATAAATGTCAAAAACAAGTGTTGCAAATCTATGACCCATCAGGCCTGTAAAAATGTTTTCAAGATTAGGCTGATAAAGATAGCTAGAGATTCTTTGAGCTTGACCCTGAAGAGGTTTCACATGCTGCTTGCTTAGAATCTGGGTAGACACTGGTGGCTCAGCCATCAGACCAGCAGAATTGATGCCTGCACCTCAGAGGGCTACAAGTTCCTTGGAACTACCTCTAGAGATCCATACCACCATGAACGGTACCAGCTAATCTGAACAGAGAAGCTGCATGAAGAGGCCAGAGGACCCAACTACATCCAACCTGCAAATGTCTTCCCATGATGTCAAGCTGTGAGGATGACCACTTGGGACCTACTACATTAGACCAGCTGCCAGGAGAACAGTATTGAAGGGAGGCCACTGAGCCTCATGAAGATGAAAACTGCCAAGCAAAGGTTGGTTACATAGCTACCACACTGGAAGTGTGGAAGTTATAATAAATCCTATTAAGATGGGGCTGTTTGAAACCCAGAACTATATAATCAGAAATTAAAATGTATTTTATTTACCCTTTAGTGAAGTTTAATTAAACTCATTACCCATATATAAAAGACATATATTTCATATATAACAATGTAGATGTCTAGCTCTTTTGGACTAATGAAATTTCAAATTCCTGGCCTTATAACCAGGTGGCAATAATTTGATGGAACTGAGGAAGGGTGATGTCTCCTAAGCACTAAATGCTATTGATTATTCAACTGATTTTTTCAACTGATCAATTTTAGTTACTCTTGAATCCTGCTCAGCTTTAATGTAACTTTCTCTAGCACAATTATTTTGCAAAGCGTAGTGAATAACCAATCTATTAGTATTTTTGAGTATCTAAATGCACAAAGTGGACTTAATTCAAAAATACAGAAGCATCATACCTGGATCAACAGCTTCTCCATCAAACACAGTCTCATACACAGTGGTTTCCTTAAAAAGAAAGAAGAATGTTCACATTAGCAATAAAGTGAACTTGATACAACTGCTTCTTCATATGTTGAATACTTTAAGCTAATGACTGTGATCATTGGTTCTAATTTTTGTCAACTTGCAATAACCTAGACTCACCTTGAAAGAGCCTCAAAAGGGGATTATCTAGATCAGGTGGGGCTATGGCATTTCTGGGCAGAGTGTCTTATTTGTGTTCATTATGAGGGAAGACCCAGCCTGAGAGTGAGAGGCACCATTCCCTGGTTTGAGGTTCTCAGGCCTGTTAGGAGTGGGGAAAACCAGCAGACGCCTAAGCCTCCATGCACCTATTGCTGCTGACTGTGGCTGTGAGGTGACTAGCTGCTTCAAGCTTCAGCCACTGCAGAGACGGACTACAACCCCGGGGTTGTCAGACAAAATGAACTCTTTGTCCAGGAAGTTGATTTTTTTGGTCAGGAAAGAAGTAAGACTAGGACATGACTTCTTATAAGCTCTTTTATCTTTAAAGATCAGCAGTCTAGGTACTAAAGCTTCCTGTCAGTCTTACCTCCTCTCAAGTACATTCCCCACAGCGCTCTGCCTGCCATGAGCGCTTTTAACTCAGATGCCTCTCTTAGGAGCAACCTTGTATGAGAAGCGTTATAGAGCATGCTGTGTGCTAGCTTCCTGACCTCATAATGCCACTACATTTGGAAATACTTTAAAGAGATAGAAAAGTAAACTAAGGTTATGTGGATATTAACCCAAAGTGACGAGTATTATAAGATCAAATGGGGACAAAGACTATCCTCAGAGCCAAACAGCCTCCACAGAACCGTGAACTTCTTGCTTCTAGGACTTTGACTAATAAATCTCTGTTGTTAAGCCACCCAGTATGTAGTTTTCTGTTATGGAAACACCAGAAAAGTAATGCAGAAGACTGGGTGGCATCAGCCTCCTTACCGAGAAGGCGGGGATTGGAAGGTTGAGAGGGAGCCAGCCTGTGAAAGAAGGCCATGGCCAGCCATCACTGTGGTATGAGTGTCAGGAGTGCATGGGAAACAAGGGGACAAAACTGAAAGGTGCCCTTTCGAGTTCCATGCCGCAATGTGGATCTGAGATCCAGCCCTCCCTGGTGTATTTTGTGGGTTATTCAGCAATTATGCTTTGCTCAATGTGAATTAGCGTGCCTTCTCTGCTAAAGACTCCAAGGTTAAGGAACTTGCCCAGGCCTGCCATATGTATAATATTCAAATATAGTTTTAAATTCTAAGCAGTATTAAATTATGCTAGATTTGCATTTGCCTAGAGTCGTTTTTGCTACATGCATATATATATTAGGTAAATTTTGCCTTCACCAAGCTTTTAAAATTTAATCTGAAATCCCAGCTTTGTAACACACACTAATTCACCAAAAATGATAAACTGAAATTATTTTATTTCCTTCCTGTGATGTTTGAATAGATTTTACCATATGTTACAAGGAAAAATTTTTCAATATACAGCAAAATGGACAAAAATGCACTTACTGTTAATACCTCTAGCTTTTCGTTTCTTCTTTCTGTGATAACATTTTTTCCTTTTTGATTTTTATTTCCTGTTTAAAAAAAAAAAAAAACACATGAAATGGGTGAATGAATGGAAAGGATGTAGTGGGTGGCATTTTCAAAACATAATGTGGGCTTGCAAGATAGCTCAGGGCTGAGGTGCCTGCTGACAAGCATGACAGCCGGAGGTTGGTGCCTACGTGGCAGAAAGACAGCACCCAACTCCCTGCAGTTGTCTTGTGACCTCCACCAAAATTAAAATGAAAGGAAAGCTGTGCTCACTTCAGCAATACACACACTAAAGCTGAGGTGATCAGCATGACCCCTCTGCAAGGATAACACACAAATTTGTGATACAGTCCGTATATTTTTTTTAAATAACACTAAGGTTTGCAAAAACTTACTATTTTGTAAGGTGTGCCTGCGTATGATGTGTGTGTGTGTGTGTGTGTGTGTGTGTGTGTGTGTGTGTTCATATAAAAGAATTTGGTTGGGGTTACACTGATTGCCAAACAAAAATTCCAGCACCAAATATTGGATATTTCTCTTCAAGTTGTTAGTTGAAGTATCCTGGAGATCTCTCCTCCCCCCAAATATAGGCTCATTGCCATGGCCCTTGGTTGCCTGCCAAAACTTGATGGTGATACTCATTGCTAAAGACATCTGGAGAAATCAAGCTGATACTGACCAGGAAGCTTCCTCCCTACTCTTTAGCTGTCACAGTACCTGAAGGTGCTATGTAAGCTGCTAGGGATGTGAAGTTGTCACCAGTGTTACCCAGCTGTAATCCTGCGAGCTACAGTAACCAGCAGCTTAGCAAGAGTGCAATAGCCACACAAGTGTTGTGAGATAAACAATTCCTTTCTGATTGAATTCTAGGCCAACTCAACCAAAGAGAAAGAATACTTGCACCCCTATTGGGTTGGGGAATCAGCGTCCCCAGGAGTGAATCTGCTACTATTATTCTACCAAATGAGTCAAACATCCCTCTAAATTTACTTCTCTACACCAGTAAATTGGTACAGATTTTGAACCTTATCAAAGAAGTTTATTTGTGTAATGGACAGTGAGTAACACAAAAAGATACACAACTAGTCCAAGTGCAGAGAGTAAGTGTCAATGGAATGCTACGCCACAAATGGAACATTTATACCACACATTCATCCCCAGGCTCAGGGACCATCATGGAAGAGCAGACAAAGATGATGAAGGCTAAGGGTCAGGGAGTACTCAAGCAAGTAGTGTCTCCTGGACATGACAGGACCACTGTGTGAGCTCACACAGTGCCTGTCTGGGCAAGATCAGTCCAAGAGCAAGCCCCTCAATAACTGGGCATGGCATGTGAAAGGGGCTGGCAAGCCCCACCTCTTAACTGAAAAGCCATTGACAGTTGATGGCTTCTGGCAAAGGGAGTATCAGCTGGGTTTGGGTTTTTTTTTTTCCTTTTTTGTAAATGTGGTTTCTGGTAGATCAGCCATTGTCAGAGGACATGAAGTTGTGAAATAGTGAACAGGTGGGAAGGAATCCAGGAAAATTTACAAGTAGTTATGGGAATGACTATGATTAAAGCACATTTCAAGAAATTCTCAAAAAAGAAAAACCCCAATAAAACATTGTATTAAAATAAACAAATATATATAATTTTAAAATTATATAATCCATGCATAATTAGTATCTTACCTACAACATACTTCATTCTTCTGTAGAAAAGGAAAATTTGACAAAAAATCAGTTAAATTATGGCAATATATGTTCAAAGTAATTTCATTCAAGACTTAACATGTGACTTACCACAACCAGATTTTTGAAGGAATTATGTAGTTTTCATCAGCAGTTTCCAGCTTTACTGCACCATTTGAAAAAAATCCTGTGTAGTTTATGAAAAAGTAACTCTAAATCTAAGGTGTGTGATACCCCGCGTGGAAGCACAGTGCTGAGCCTGTGTGCATCCGTGCGTGCGTGCGTGCGTATTACTGAGCATGAATCCAGTCTTAGTTCATGTCAGTTAAACACTCAATCAGTGACTTATATCCTTTTCCTTCAGTTTACTTTTTATTTTGACAAATGGTCTAACTCATGCTGGATTTGAACCTGCAATCTTCCCGCCTCTGCCTCCCAATTACCTGGGATTATAGGCCTGTGCTCCTAGGCCAGGCTCCACCTCTGCTTTTGAACCTACGGTATTCTCTACCCTGAAGAACTATATTGATAAATGACAACAGAAGCAGCTCTGTTTTCTATCCATTTCTTTGGCCCCCCCAAAAACTTTAAAACCAATCAATTGTGTGGAAAGAGAATCAACACTTATTATCTACCATTCCCTAAATTAATTCCTACTGATTGTCAAAAATCTGTCCTTGAAACTACTTTGCCTTAAAACAATGTGAGGTGTTCATTTGCCCACAAATTCAGTTGTTTTAAAAGATTTTTCACAGACAGTACATTCTATAGTATTGCGTAGTAATATAGTGCTGCTCTTCTGTTTGGGCAGGATTTCTTTTAGGTTGTTGTTGTTTGATTTTGTAAGATGTATTATTTTGTTTTTAATTTATGGATAGGTTCCCATGGAGCCTACAAGTCAGATTCTTTGGAACTGGTGTCAGCCACCCAAAGTTGGTGCTAAGAACTAAACTACCAAACTCCAGTCCTCTGCGGGAGCAGCAAGAGCTCTTAACATCTAAGCCAAGTCAACAGACATGTATTTCTTTGTTTGTTTGGGTTTGTGTATGTTTGTGAGCGTGTGTGTCTATGTTTGACAAGGTCTCATGTAGCTAAGGCTAGCCTCAAATTTACCTTTACCTCCTACATACCGTCAAGCTAACCTCTATTGCTGTTTATTTTATTTTATTGGAAATTATATAATTACATAATTTCTTCTTTTCTTTTCCTCCCTCTAAAACCACCGAAATATACTTCCCTCAAATTCCTAGGCTATTTTTTTATTAACTGTGCTATATACATGTGAGTGTATTTATATTATATCCAACCTATAATAATACTTATATGTACACATATGTTTTCCAATCTTACCTTTTGGCACTAGATAACCAACTGATGTGCTCTTCCAAGGGAAGACTATTTGTCCTCCTCTTGGCCTTCCTTAGTTGTTTGTAGGTCTTTGCATAAGACTGAGACCTCATGACCTTCCCATGAGCCAGCCCTCATCTATATTAGCCTGTCCTCATTCATCTCATAAACCCACATTTCAGTAAGCCGGAATAATCCCTAACTACATCTAAATATTTATCCTTACACCCACAAATAAGTGTAGTCCTCACCCCTCAACAAGAAAACATCTCTTTGCAACAAAGAAAGACTATTACAAAAAACTACAACCAATCTAAATGCAGGGTTGTGAACCCCATTGCCAACTGATACATCCACAATGAAGCTCCTGTATCTAATGCACAGAGATAATTGCAAAAGAAAGAATATGGAAAAGATTGTAAGAACCCAAGGACGAGGAAATTTGCCACAAGAATGTGTCTCCCAGGAACATTGCCACTTACTAAAGAGAGCCTCCCAAGTATTTCAGGATAAAGTGGGTTTAGAATGCTGGTAAAAACAAATAAACAAACAAACAAACAAACAAAAAAAACACTGAGTTCTGTATCCCTAGTATTTGGTCTCTCTAAAACACACTTAGGCAGAATCACTAAGAGTTAAGAGAACCAAACTTGAATTCATTTTAATTCTTTATGGCAAAAGCTTAGGAATAAAAAAAAAAAATCACATACTTGGGTTTTGACTTGGAAACTTCCTTGGTCATTTTCTGAGAGCAGCTCTTAATGTTTCTGTATTTCCAAAGGAGAAAACACATCCAGGAAATCAGTCCAATGAAGAAAACAGCCATCAGCGTGAAGATGAAAGGAACATACCAGTCACTGCTTTTGTATGTGTTGATAGCTGTATACACAATGGTCAGACCTTTTCTTTGCTGGAAAATTATTTCAAAGCAAAGAGAGCATTAGTTCCTGTTTTCAAAGCACATCTGTTTGCACAGTGTAGCATCAGTACAGAGCCACCATCTCAATGCAGACAGTGGGACACAAACTCCTACATATGTGTAAGTATCCGGGTAACAATGAGAACATGATAACAAAAAAGAGCTACCAAATTAACAATGTAGAGAACAGAGTTGCTTGAAATGGCCACTCTGTGATCCAAAGCAAATCATGTTTCTCCTTTTCACCTCAGCCCTTTGACCTATAAAGTTAAGAGATTGAGCTAGCTGATGTCTAAGATACGTTTAGGCCTGCATGTCCCTGTTATCTACTTCTTTCTGTGTAGCTTGAGGTAAGAGTGCATTTTCAAAAATCAAATACTCAAGGAAAAAGACTTTTTTAATACTGTATTTTAGAGGCCACAAAACAATAAAACAAAACACACCCTAAATCCTATGAAACAGAAACTTTCATTCTTGGGTGACTACTAAGCCATTATATAATTCAGCAGCATCTTCCCATATCTGCTTTATAAATGATAAGACACTGAAAGGTCTGGTAGGTGTTGTAAAGTTGGACTGAAGAGTAGATAAATGATGGCTGTAAGACCTGCAGTGTGATGTCTAGCATAGCAAAGGTGCCCACTGTTATGACAGCATAGTCTTTCAAAGTATCTACTTGCAGAGGGTTTTAGTGGGTATAAGTCACTGAATAGTGCTCCCTTCTATTGAGCAAGACCTTCAGATCATTCAGCCTGCAGTTTAGGGGTCCTCTTCAGGCAGCTCAGGGGTCCTCTATAAGTGCATGCAATTTTCAGTTATTCCTGTGCACACAATATATTCACAGATGCACAGTGCCCAAGGGAGCCCACTGGTTGTTTGGGTTAGCGTGAAAGTCAAAAGGCCCATGAGGGAGAACGATGGCCTGGTCATTCAGGTAGCATTCCAGGCTGACATCTGACTTTGCAGTAAAATGTTTACAACACAGAGAGCCAAATCAAATTCCGTAAGTCTTTACCTCAGGGCTGGTTGGAGGAGGTGGTGTGCTGGTTCTTATCACATAGATGTCTATGATGGCAGTTCCTGTCCTGGGCTTGATGGCTTTGCCGTATTTCAGGTTGTCATCAATTACATGCACCACAAGATGGTAGCGCTGCCGCAGTTCAGCTCCAGATGCAAAGTTGAAAGGATTCTTCACAATTAACTTTGGAGTATTTGAACCCCGACTTGGGTCTAATTGGAAATGAAGGTTTTCGTTTCCTTTAAAACAAATAATGGGAAAGTTAGAATGATTTTATAATACATAAATGATCTCAAGCTACCTTAAAATTAAAATACAGAATATGTACATAGATTAAAATTAACATTAGCTATAATTTCCATATCTAAAAATAGTTTATAATAAGGTTGAAATAAAATAGTCAATTCAGATATGCAGGAAAGTGTTTTACACTAGGCATGTTAGGGTAAACCTATAATCCCAGCATTTGGTAGGAAAAGGCAAGAGGATCAAGAGTTCAAGGTCATCCTTGGCTACATAGAGAGCTCAAGGCCAACCTGGGCTACAAAAGACCCTGTCTCAAAAAAAAAAAAAGTTTTTAAAGGTTTAATCCGCTCATGTGGCCAGCAAATTTCATGTTACAATCTGATTATTCTGCATGTTTTTTTTTTCCTCTTCCTTTATGGTCACGCTTAGTCTAAATTAATATCTAATGAGCCAGCCAGTCCACAGTACAAATTTATGTCCTTTAGAAGTTAAGTCTTCGTTACTTTGGCTATTGTATGAAATTCATATACAGTAAAATATGTCCTGTTTTTTAAATGTCAAAAAAAAAAAAAAAAAGAAGTTAAGTCTTCTCCAGGGCTTGGTAAACCCTACCATAAACGAGATGAACGTATCTTCTCTCTTCATGGAGCTTACCTTCTAGCAATGAGTGTAAATATCAAACTAGTCTTCATAATTTATTAACAATGTGTTTGCTCATGTCTACATTCTCACCTTTCCAAATGAGCAGCAGCAGTGGAAAGGTCTTACTGTCATAGTCAAGACAACTGCAAAGATAATGTTTTCCTGTGTAGACTTTCTCTTGGTTAATGACTTTATGTGTTGGGTACCCAAAGTTAAATGAGTAATGAGTGCCATGAATGCATTCCACATCTATTTTAGATGGCTCTATAGAACAACTTCTAAGAATAGTGTTTAATATATGGTTGGTCTCAAATAATGGAAGATCTCCTATAGAAGACAAGTTGGAGACTATGATATTTATGTGAATCTGCATGGATCCAATTATAATACAGTCAAAACCATCTAGCCTGTGAACTTGTTACAGCATAATCAGTTGGAAAGGTGGCATCTGTTTTCAGCTAGCTCCATGGATAAAAGAGCTAGTTCCTTGTACTAAAATCTGTAGCATTTCCTCAAGTTCTGAGTATCTTTGAAGACACAGGAGTAATAGAGTCATATGTGTGGACACGAAAGGGTGTTGTGAGGAAACAAAAAATTATAGCTATGAAATAGTGCAACCTTTAAAAACAGTCACTTCTAGGGTTAAATACCATTCCTGACATTGCATAGCTACTGTCAACTTGACATATGTTTGTGAATAAAAGAAATAATTAAAGTATCTACCAGAAGCCATTTCAAAGCGCATTTCAAAATCTTGTGAATCTCTGTCATGACAGTTCAGTTTGAGACCATTGACATTTGCCCCAGCAACAACATTGTCAGAGATAGTTGCTGTATATAGATAAGGTATGCAGACAGGTGCTTCATCATTCTCATCTTCAATGTCAACAGTGACCTGTCAGTGATGAAGAGAAAAGAAACATCACATCCACACCATGATACTATTTATACACAGAAGCAGAAATGAGCATCTGGATGGGCAGATCGTCCAGAATTATTAAGTTAAAATTCTAAAGTGTTCTGAATTTGCAGACATGTTCTTGAAGATGTGGATTCTGGATGTCAGTCATTGGTTGGCGGTTTATTATTCTTGGGTCAGCTGTGACATTCTATGTCCCCTTTAGAGAGAATTAGGGGATCATTAGATGAAGCTCTATGGAAAGTACAGTCGTGCAAATTATAACAAAAGCTATACTGGAGAATGCCACCTCTAAAGATGAAGTTCTCTGGACTCTTTGAACTGCCCCAGTTCAGTGGCAAACATGCCCAGAAGGAGCTGCCTCTGACTTAATGAAGGACCTCTTCCATACCGGTTCCTCGAGCACAATGTCTGTCTGACTGTAATTAGGGTGCTTATCAACCTTTTCCTAATTAAAATACTATAAACCAGGAAGCTGTGATTTACATGGGAAAAGATCAAAATATGAAGAGTTTGAAAATGTCACTGATCAAATGCCAGTAAGCCTAGAAAGGTTGTCTGCCCACCTCTCTGATGACTAATAATTTTCCAATAACATCAGCAGAAGAATCACTGGTGTGTGTACATCTGCAAGAATTATCTTTTAATGCTTTAATAACATAGTTAGGTTCTTGGAGGGGATTCTGCATTTTTAATGTTACTTCTCTGTAGATTGAATGCAGCTAAATGTTGTGTTTAATACATGAGGTTTTTAACTACATTTTGTTTGTTTGTTTGTCTGTTTGTTTTTAAGACAGGGTTTCCCTAAATACCTGTGGTTGTTTTGGAACTCACTCTGTAGAGTACACTGTCCTCAAACTCATGGTTGTAACCTCAGCTTTGTGAAAGTCATTCTAATCATTGATGCAAATAGGTCTTATGCTTTCCTCACAATGATAAGCTCAAAAAACAATGCAAAACAACCTAACAACCACACAAATACACAGAATCATCTGGAGGCCTTTCAACTGAAAGAGTCCTCACTCAGAAAGCTGTGTGCGACAACAAACCTTAGTTTCATTAGAGGCATGTGCTCCATAATAAATGGAACATCATATATTCTTGATGTCTTTCAACAGTCAGTCCTCTAGCTTTGCTAAAATAACTTACAGACATACACATGCCTTTACTACAATACTGAAAGAATGCATGCGGCATTGCAAACATTGCCTTGAAGTAGAAGGCAGCCTGGATTTAGTGCTAGGTCTGTGAATCTTATATTAGGCCGAGGTACATTTTCCTCATTTGCATGGTGAATGTGAGTGTAGTGCCGCCTACTTCACATGTTAAAGTATTGACTCCATCACATCTTGTCCAAAAAGACTCATGTTATCCTTTTGAGAACACATAGACAGCAGAAAGAGAAGTTAGCCAATTCCTCCTTACCTGTTCAAACTTCCAAAGCTAAGTTCATACAAAAGTTATGGAACACTTGAGAAGCAGAAGAAATCCACAGGCTTCTCCATTCCCTGCCACTTTATGACCTGATCACTCCAATGTGCTATTTAGAACTTAATACATTGCCCAGTCATGTAGACATGAAACCTGTGTCTCTACTCACTGTGGCCACTGCAGTGCGTGGATGCGCTCTGTCGCAATTCACAGCTTCCACTGTGAGGTTATATTGCCTCACTGTCTCATAGTCCGGCTGAGTGGTGAGTTCAATCATTCCAGAGATAGGATGAATCCAGAACCTTCGCACAGCCTGGATATCGCCCTTGATTATCTTGTAGGTCAGACAGTTTGCTGGATGGTCCTCATCAATGGCAGTCACTTGTCCAACTTTGTAGAAGGCTGCCAATGTTTTACCGAGTTTATTTTTCTCATGTACATATATTCCTATAAAGGCTTACCACGCCTATAATTTTTCAAATGGTAACCTGAATTTTTCCAAGTAATAACCCCTTTTGGGTTAAGACTTAAACTCCACATGATAGCAGACAGATTTACAGAGAATCACAGCCACTTGAGACCACTGGTTTCACTCAAATGAACTCAAAGTATCACTAACTTTGTGATACTCATAATTAGCTTCATCTTAGCATTATGCTAACATTACTGGCAGATAATGTTCAGAAGCCAGACTCTGAAACCAGAAGACCAAGTTTACAATCTCAGCTTCTCACTTACTAATGCAGAATGGACAGTTCTGTAGGCCCCTTGATTTTTTTTTCTTTCTTTGCAAACTAAGTTCAATAACATCACCTACCATACAGAGTTGTGGAGACTAGGTGAACTAAAATACATGAAGTACATGGAGTAACAGTAAAGCCTGGCATATAGTGAATGCTAACGAAGAATTATTTCTTATGCTTCTCTCACTGAATCTTCCCAACAGCCTTATGGTGGTAGTACTGCTATCTCCATTTTATAGAGAAGGAATTGAGACCCTATAATGTTCTTTTGTCCTAGTCCACAAAGCTGGTCATGATAGAGTCAGGCTCAAGTCTGTGTCTGCTAATTCTAAAGTCAGATTTTCAAATCTTTTCACAATAATTCCAATTAATAATATTCACAACTAATCCTTCAGAATAATGATAATTACAGTACATTGGTTTAGTTCATATGTCCAAATTCTTTCTTGTGTTCACACTATTAGCCATGCAGGGAACCCTAGCACTCTGGCTTGTAACTTGCTTTGATCAATGGAATATTGGTGAACCTGGTATAGGCAAAGGTATGACAAGCATTTGTTAGATTAAATTGACTTTCTTTTGCCATATACTAACACACACACACACACACACACCTGACTGTTATCCTATAAAAGTCATTCTAGTTATGAATATACCTCTTTCTTCACTCTGAAGACGTAGTTGGTTCAGCCTGAGGATGAAAGGATGAGGGAGGGCCAAAGCATTGTCATCCCAAGCAAATCAGGACAGGGCACTGAAAACCAGCTGACTCTCACAAGCTTGAGCAATACCAGAAATATATTCCAGTTCTCAGCTACCTGAGCTGGACAATGTTTATTGCTATGTTACTCCAATTTGTATGGGATTCATTTATATAGCAATACTATGGCAACAGATTACAGTTATGGTAAGTTACTTTTCAATCATCTTATTCTTAAGTCGTAAGTTCTGACACATGATTATGTACAGCTCACCAACATGTGCCAACATGTGTATGGGGGTTTCCACTGAGCAGCGATGAAGAAGAAAGCATATTATGTGCCATCCTCATCACGTTCAACCTCAAAGAATATTTCCTTATCTGGCATGTTCCTTAATCGAGATTCATCTCTTGTAATGAATTATTAAGTGAGCACAGCTTATGATAGCAACAACAGAAGAAGCATATTCACGGAAAAGAAGGTTTCTTTTTTTTTTTTTTTTTTTTTTTTTTTTAGAAGGCTTCTTATTACGGCAGTTCCAGAAGAGAAAGAATCTACAGCTTGGGCAAGAGCATCATTTTTACATAAAGGTGTTGCAATGGATACATGGCCTTGGAGAAGAGATAACCAGTAAAACTGATCTCTGTTTTACAGAGCTGGAAAATGATGGGATTATTTCCACATTCAACACCTGGTTAAGTACAATGGGAAGCATATTCTTATGAAGGTGTAAAATTAACCTTTCAATAAACTCTAAATGTTATCTTGAGCGTCTTTAGCTGAATTTTAAGTAGAGTAATTATGGAACTATGAACACTGCCAAACCTCATCAAAAATACTGGAAATGGAATGCATTTTCCCTTGAGACCTGCAACTCAGCTGACTCAATTTCCAAGTTTCTTTCAAGTCACTACTGATAAAGAAGCTCTTTTGAGTACATCTACTTTCCTTCATAGATATTTTTGTCAGTTTATCATATATCATCAATTTTACTGTAAATATTATAGAACTCCATAATTACAATTTTTGTGTAATCTACTAGACACATTTGAATCCTCTGTACTAATGAATTCAGTATGGGGGAAAACACCTTTTGTATTAATGTAGTTTTTTGGGCTTTTTTGTTTTGTTTTGAGCAGGCCTGGAACTCACTCTGGAAACCAGGCTAGCCTCAAACTTAAAGATCTACCTGCCTTTGCCTCTCAACTGCTGGAACTACAGGCAAGTCCCACTATGGCCAGATATTTAATGTAGTATTAAGTATCCTGAAAGACTATAGGCATTACATTTAATATTCTGAGGGGAGTCGTGTTCAGAGTAGTTTACAGTTTCAGTTTCCTCCTAAGGGTAGCTTGAGTTGCGGAGGTCTCTACTGTAAATATCTGTACATATTCATCTATTTATACATAGATGAATCTAAATAGATGTTAGATAGACATCAATCGATAGCTAGATAGATTGCAAATAACAGCAATTAATATTTAAAAAAAGGCCATGAATTTTAAAAAGAGCAAGAAGACATAGATGGAGAGAGGAAAGGGCAGGGAGAAATTATGTGATTATATTCTAAAAAGAAAAGAAAAAATAATTCAAGACTGTGAAACAAAACAAGCAAAAATCCAAATGCTGTAATTCCATTCAGTTTGTAAGCTCTAATACAGAAGACCAAGCAGTATTTTTGTGGTTGTTTCAAAAGAAAAGAAAGAAGTTCCAGCACACTGAAGACTGGCAGCACTCAAGAGACATCAGCAGTATAACTGTCATTGGCAGTGGGAACATGGCTTTGGAATTCAAACACCAAGCTACTGGGCTGGAAAGATGGCTCAGCAGTTAAGAGCACATACTGCTCTTGCAAAGGGTCCAAATTCCATTCCCAGAACCCATGGTTGACGGGTCACAATTGCCTGCAACACTAGCTCGAGGAGACCTAGCACCTCTGGCTTCTGTGATCTCATGTACCTATTCCCACACAGACACTTATTTCAAGATAACATAAATATTTTAAAAGAATATTAATATGTGGCAACTAACATATGTACTGTGGTCAACACATATGGAATGTCAGTCATACACACAAGCTTCATCTCAGCTCTATGCTATAGTTATTATCTTTATTTTCCAGACAAGAACTCAAAAGTGCAGGACTTCGGCTCTAGTTCATTTCTCCAGAGCTCTGTAAGCCCTGGGTTTGAATTCCTAACAACACACACAAATAAATAAGTAAATAGATAGATAGATAGATAGATAGATAGATAGATAGATAGATAGATAAATAGATAGATAGATAGCTAGATAAATAAATGAATAAATGAATAATAGGAGGAGGAGATATGGAGTTTTCTGTAGATCATTACTGGAATATGCTGAAGAAAGGAATGCCAACTGCTCAAGAACATCAAAGCCAGGAGATTGAAGCTATTATTTAGTCTCTCCGGCAACTACAGAGCTTCAATGGTGCTGTATGCAGAATGCCTGCAAAAGACCCCTGCTGGTTGGTGTGCCAGCAAAAGCAGCCCTTTCCTGGAGCCTCTAAGCCTCTAAGCATTACTTACATGCCTTCAAACACTTGAGTGGTGAATGATTGTTCCAAATCTCAAGAAAACTCTTCCCAAGCCAAAGATTTTTGTATATTTCAGAACTTTGCTATGCCCTGGTCCAATAGCCAACATTTTACAGAAATTAGTGATTTTCTACACAAGTACAAAAATAAAAAATGAAGGAGTAGAGTTTCAAAAGAAAAAAGGCCTGGCTAACTAGCTGAAGTACTTTAAGACAAATGAACACCTTACACCTAAATATAGCAAGAAACACATCTTCCATTAAGTAAGGTACTAATATCGCTATACAAAACAGCATGGAGAGTTTATTTTGGATATTTACATTTTAGGGGCTAAATAATTTTGTTAATTAAGAACTGAACAATATTTACTACTCCAAACATTTTTTATACTATAAAAATTGTTATGAATTTACAACCAAACAAAACCCTCAAAGGTTTTAAAGAAGTAAGTTGCTGGAATAACTGACTTATGCTAGCAGAGACAGGTTTGAAGCCAGCTTCCTTTGAGCCCTACATTTAGGCTCTTCCTGCCTCCATATGACATGCTTACAAAGCAGGTTGTCTTGATTTCAGGGCACAGTCAGTTCTATCACTTGAAGTATTTGGGTTAAGCCTGGAGGATTCGCATCCAGAGATTCTGGGAAAGGGATGTATTCCCATCTTAGATGACAGAATTACAACTATTACCTTTTTTGTATTTTCCAAACAGAATAAAGCTATCCATGATATCCTAACTCCTATCTAATTTAGAACTGGGATAGAACCTTAGCCATGATCTTGACTTTGGACCCTAAGACCTTGACCACAGTTTTTCATGAGATTTGGGTTGTATGGATAATAACCACACTGTCCCTACTTCTTGACACTTAGCCATAGTTTGGAGGCGAAAGGGGTGAGAAATTAAGTAAAGTCAAAAACATGCATTTGTCCACCACAAAAACAAACCCTAAAACTGTCATCAAATCTCAAAGTAGGCTTTGGGAAATCATCAGGATGATATTCTGAGAACATCGCCAGTAAAAATAAATTTTCATGAAGGTCCCACATCCTCCTGCATCTGCTCATGTTCTCTAAATGCCCATGCTCCTTTTCCATTGCTCGCTCAGCGGAGACCTGCTAACACAAGGCATTTCCTTGGGGATGCTTTAATGGTAAAGATACGAGAACATCCTTACCTCCTGATGTTTCGGGAACTGAAAATGTATAGTGTGAGGCTTGAAATTTGGGGCTGAAATCATTGTCAGGAGCAATCACCACAAGGATTGTCACAGTCACTGTGAAATTGAGCAGTAAATTAGTACTTTTTGTTTTACTCTACAAACAACTGAAACATGTCCCCAGTTGCAGGATTAGCAAGGACTCAAACTACAGCAGGAGTCTCTCTACCTCCAAATGATTGGTATTCCCACACTCTGTGTTCTCAGGAGATCAGGGGTGGTTTGAATGTGAAGTGTCTTTCACTGGCCCCTGTGTTTAAGAACTTGGTTCTCAGCTGATGGCACCCTTCGGAAGGCTGTGGAATCTTCAAGAAGATTTTCCTTGGAAGAAGAGAGGCTCCTCTTTTTGTTTCGTCTCTGCTACCTGACTGAAAATGCAGTGTAGCTGTCTGTATTCACTCTTACTGCCACACTTACAGTTCCATAGGAGTCTATATCCCTTCAAGCTGTGAGCCAATCTTCCCTTGTGTTCCTTCTTGTCAGTTATATGTGACAGCAACAGGAAACACTAGACAAAACCCAAATGAGTTCCATGGCTAGCCAAAACAGGTTAGCAAAAACAAAACAAAAAAGATAGTAGGTTTTATATTTTATGTAATATGGATATGTGTGTGGTATAATATGTATTGTGCGTAATTACATTTTCTACAAGACAGTCTCCCTCACAAATTTCTGTAGAATGATTCTTCCACTGGTTGGTTGGAGTAACTCTCCAATCAGTCTAAGATGTCTTACACTATGCTTTTAAAACACAGAAAGAGAAATGAAAAGTCTGAGAAATTCCATGTTTAATGCTTAGAGTCAACATAAATTCTGTGGCCTTAAACTAGCTTTCACTTCTAGGAGGTTCAGTTTCCACATCACCCAGTGAAGTCAGGGTCCATCTACTACATCACAGTATGAATATGAAATCAGGTGAGATTGCGGTCAAGAAAAATTTTCAAATCATAAAAGGTTAAGATAAAAAGAGTTATTACCAGCCAGCCAGATTGCTTAGTATCCCAAGCCTGGTGATTTGAGTTCAGTGCTCAAAACTCACATGGTGGAAGGGATGTGAGAACCTATGCCAGCAAATTGTCTTCTAACCTCCAAGTGTACACTATGGCATGCCCCCCATACATATAGTCATGTAATTAAGTGCAGTGAAAAAATTAAGGATTTGTTACAATTTTGCACATTGCCTGTAAAAGAAAAGGCTTTGTATTTTGGGCTAACAAGCTAATGCAGCCTATTAGAGAGTTGTTCAAAAGAAATATTTTAATAGTAACAGATGAGAGAAGCAACTTGAAAGCAGAAAGAAAATTTTAAGGTAAAATTAGAGCATCGCATACGAGACACTAATGGGGACATTGATATTACTTCCACAGTTTCACAGGAAAGAGACTGAGAAAAACAGAGCTAAATTCATGGTCTAATGTTACTAAGGTAACATTAAGGTAAAAGTTCATGCAGATACCAAAGCAAGAAGTATTGGCTGTTAATATCTTTGAGATACTGATGCGCCAAATACAAAGTCCTAAATTAAATAAAAATTAGAGGTTTTTATGGCAATACTTCTTGGGATTCCTGCTATGCTAGTGTTTATTTTGAATTTCCAGGCAAGCATTCTTCCCAGATTTGTTTGGTCATGTAATTCTCCTTTAGCAGATTATCTACAGCATTAAGGTTCAAAAGAATTCTGGTATATTGCCTGCTCTAAAATTCTGTGCACCATATGTCAAACAGTAAAATTTAATCTGAGATTTACATGACCTTTCTTTTGGAGACTCAATGGCATGCTTCACCTTCTCACATATGCTGCTACATGGTAACACTTTCAAGGATACTGTCTACAACTTTCATCCAGATCTCAACAGTATCCACAATCCCTAAGAAAATTCAAAGCATGCTGTTCTACAAAAACAAATGGTTTACTTTAGACCTGTATCTTCCTTTCAGTAAATCCACTTATATGTTGTAAGAGCAGGTGCCATTTACAGCTCTGCCATACTATGATTTTTTATTACATCCATAAAGACTCCAAATTGTGTGAATTAGCTGGCCTATAAAAACAGAGGGAACCAAATGTGCAATGTTGCAAGCATATTTTATGAGCAACTGCTGTGAATATATTGGCTTGTAGAGACCAGAGAAAATATGCTACTAAGAAAGATGTTTTATCTCTTCCAAGTTCAAGAAAGGTTCAAATCTGGTGAGATGGGCAAGTTATTTAGCTACAAGGAAAAAAATCCATCCTAAAAGGCCACTTTGGGCTATATGATAGATTTCTTCATGATGTTCTACCAATAGCTTCAAACTCCCTTCCCCACCCCACAAAACCAGGGACAAAACAACAACAACAAAAACAAACAAAAACAACTCAAGAATACTTCTAGGTGAGATGTCATGCTTTGGTTCCTGTCCCCAGCACAGCACTTCTCTAGATAGCTAGCTGTGTAAGTCTACTTAATTTTCTGATCACTAGAATAAACATACTTGAAAGAAGCAACTTAATTGAGAAAGTATTTTGACTCTTGGTCAAAGAGGGGAAGGTATGGCAGGAGGAAGTGCTGGATGTTTGCTCATGTCTCAGCATTGACTTTAGCAAGAGCCACTTCACAGAAGCTCCACAGCCTCCCAAAACAGTGTCACTATCTGAGAGTCGAGTGTTCAAACACAGTCTGGTGAGGAACATTTCACATTAAGTCAAAGCAACTCCACTAAAGTTCTTTTATCAGTAAGTCAAGCAGGATTGAGAGCATCCTAGGCCTATTGAGTACAGTTCAGGGTTAAGTTCATTTGGCTGCAAACACATAAATGTCTTCTATAATTCTGCATTATAGAAGAAATAATCTCAGAATCCATTCAACCCAGTGATCAAGGCAACCACCAGCAATGATTCAGAGTTCTTACAAGGAAAAGCAAAAAAACAAAAACACAACTGTCACTCTTTCCCAATTGTTCTCTACTGCCAGACCATGCCTTCTACTACAAACTTGAACTCTCTCCAGTAACTTTTTATTTATCAGCAATGGAAACACCTGCATGGCCACTTTAGCACCATAATTTCCAGAAATGAGAGACACTTGCTATTAATGACAGATGTAACCTGAAAATTCTAAGGATATTTCTTCTCAGAAAAATCTATAGAGCCAAAAAAAAAAAAAAAATGAAGTCCAGAACTGCTGATGTGTAGTTGTTAAACAAGTACCAACCCCAACTCCTTAGGAAACTTGATGTATGTTTTCATTTGCACAAGAGTAAGCAAAGAGAAATGGGAACTAGGCAGTTTGCTTAGCACACCAACTCCTAATCACTCTGCCTTGCATGCTTAGGACCTCCAGAGAATAGTAGGGCGCACTCAGCAAAACTACAACTATTAACCCTCCAAATGCCAAAAAAATGTATAAGCATGCAATCTTGGCAAGCATATTCTTCCATTTGATGAGCTGTAGAGCATGACAAGAGGCTCATTGTTTTCATTAATAAAAGCTTTAGGTCATGCAATCCCATTCCAGTAAAATGTTTTTTTTTTTATTTTAAACAACCAATTACATACATGCTTGGGCTACATCTTGCCTGATCTCAAGATCTTTCTAAGTCAGAGATGTTTGGTATTATCTAGCATAAAAAATCAAATACATCATATTCATATATATATATGTATATATATGATGATTCTTGAATATATATATTTGATTTAATTCTTGATTTTATATATATATTATATATATTCAAGAATCAAAATTGATACCTACACCCCCTGCTTTTTTCAATACCAAGATCTCTAGCCAGACCAGGATGAAAGAATTGTATGTTATTTAAGGTGCTGCTAAGGAATGTAGAGGCTTCCCAGTGACGGAAACTTCCACACCAGTCTATCCCATTATCCCAATGTGATGAATGTTTATAGCAAACTGAATAGCCATGAAAAGCTATAATAAATACCTGTATGAGACGGATGTAGGTCATCAAATACTGAAATCATCATTTCATAAATGCGTCCTGCTGCAACCACTTCTGGGTTTTCATAATCCAGCTCTTTGGTTACCTTATAGAAAACATTATTTCAGAAAAAATTCTTTCATCTGTTTTTGTGTACACACACAAAGACACACACACATACACACATGAACATGTGCTATGGATTGTGTATGGCAGTCAGAAGACAACTTGCAGGAGTCTACATCACAGATACAGGGGATGGAACTCAAATAACCAGGCAGGTGCCTTTACCCAATGAGCCACCTCACTGGCTCTGAAGCACAACTTTTAATGCACATGCTTTAAAATGTCAGTCTGGGCTCTTTTTGATCACTTCCTTCTGGTGGGGCGGCCTTGCCAGCCACAGAGAAAGAAGATGCAGGCAGTCCTGATGAGACTTGACAGGCTGGGGTCAGATGGTAGGGGAGGAGGACTCTTTCTGGGGACTTGGGGAGAGGAATAGGGGAAGAAGAGCGAGGGATGGTGGGACCTGGAGGAGATGAGGGAGGGGGTTACAATCTGAATATGAAGTGAATAAATTATTTTTAAAAAATAAGAATAAATTACAAAAAAAAGTCAGTCTGGAAAAGTCGAATGTACGGCCATTTTTATATCCTAGGAATGACTTCATGGAGTGCATGAGTCTGACAGAGGCTGATGTATATAAATGTGCTTCCTTTTGAAGGAAATATTCCACCATAGAAGAAAATACAGCGTGTGAATCGTGCTGCCATGGGCAAAGCATCCACATATTTTGAATGAATATTGTGTGAAAAGGTATGATAAAAGTGCAAGCTGTACTTGGGGCTGGAGAGATGGCTCAGTGGTTAAGGCCACTAGCTGATCTTCTAGAGATCCTGGTTTCAATTCCCAGCTCCCACATAGCAGTTCTCAACCATCCATAACTGAAGTCCCAGGTGTTTTGATTCCCTTTTCTGGTGTGCCGTGAACATTCACACAAAACACTCATATACATAAAATACAGCAAGAAATAAAGAATTTGCAAGCTACTCCTGTTATAAGAGACTACTTCAAAATAATTTTGAATACTAATTAGGATTCAGTTAGAGCTGTAAAGATTAGGGCTCTAACAGTCAGATGGACCCATAATCAGAAACTTTGAGAAAATCTAATGTAGTGTTAGCATGAATAGCAGTTTGGCAAAAATAAATGAATCAATACAGCACCAAGAATTCCAGGGTTCAGAAAGATTTTCTCTTTTTAAATGCAGCATATGACTCCTTCACATTCAGGGAATTACACTGAGTACCCTCTATGGAACAAGCACCACAGCAAATTTTAATTTGCAAATGATAAACACCTAGAAATATGTATAAATCTTCCAATCTAATGAGAGCAACAACAAAATAGACAGTTGTACATGTAAACTAAAATGACATGCAGCCTGCACTGTTATGCTGGAAGGAGATAACTCTCAGGGATATGTGGCATTTGATGCCTACAAGATAAACATGCAAACGCAGAAGTCAGTTAGAGGTGGAGGGTGGCTAGAAGCATTCACACAGCTACAGATCAAGCACAGACGAAGGCTCAAATCTTAGAATAGTGTTTACCAATCCTCCATCTTTTCTCAGACTTAATTTTAAAGATTATACTTGGTTTGCATTGCAAAACGAATATTGATCCAGTATGCACCTGGTGCTGTGCCCAAGTGTCCCAACCTCACACTCACACAATAACTTGCTTTGTAGCTGTAGACTTTGTCACAGAAATTTGGGTTTAGGATTGGAGAAAGAAAGGGTTCATCTGTGGGTTTCTCAGTCCTGCTAAGAGCAGGAATGCATAGGTTGAGAGTAGCTGGTGATATTGGGGGAGAGGGGAACCATGTAGTAAGGAACTATGGAAGCAATCACGGCTTGGCACTATGAAATAAGACATGGAAATTGTGGAAATTTCTTTTAAGGAAGACTCAACCTCCAGTCTTCATACTCTGCCAAGAGAAAGTTTGAGCCTCTAAAAGAGGAGCTGCCTTTAGTTAGCTACTTCTAGTGCCAGGAGAGCAAGCCATTGTCACACATGCTATCACATAGACTCGACTCTAAGGAAACCAGCATGTGTTCCTAGGTTCCTATTTCTCTAGCTAAATAGGAAGTGAATTGTTTTATGTTCACTATAAAAAGGAGAAAATGATGGCAGAAAGAAGATAGTTAAAGACTTGTTCAAATGTCTTCTGCCAAGACAACAGAGAAGCCAGAATTCCCCCATACTGTATCTAGACTCCTTCATTGGACCTTATTAGCATCATCCCAATTTGCCATGACATTACTGCGATTCCTTGGGAAAGCTCCCTGGATTGACAGCCACTGGGGCTTACCTGAATGAAATTTTCAGCATTTGGCACTTGCTCAAATAGTCGTCCAAACCCTACTGGGCCAGAGTCCAGAGCATAATGAATTGTGTCAGGAGGTTTGTCGAGGTCATGACATGAGAGCTTTGCAATTACTGTGTCTTTTGCAATCTTCTTGTTACCTGTGTACCTGTTTAATTGTTCAAAAAGAAAAATCACTTTAGATAGGCATTCTCTTACAATGCAACGCTTTCCCCTTAAATATCCACTAGCTTTAATAAGCCCTGTGCAGGTGCTCTGTTAATCCTAGGGCAGACAGGCCCTCCTAGGAGCATCATTTACCATTTCATAAGAGTATGATCTGGTATCGCTACTGTGTAAATAAGTGCAGAAGCTCCTCAGAAAATTAAAAATAGGGCTTCTATGAGACCCAGCTATGTTTCCTCTATATACCCAAAGATCTCTCTATCCTACCTCAGAGATACTTGCACATCCAGATTCATTGCTGCTCTTATCCCAATAGCTAGGAAATGAAAGCAGCCTTGATGTTCAGCAACTAATGAATAAATAATAAAATGTGGTACATTTATATGGCAAAATTGTATTCCATTGTAAATAAAAAACTATGTAAATTTCAGGAAAATAGATTGGTGTGAAATTATTATATTAAGTGATGTAGCCCAGTCTCAGAAAGACAAATATTCTCTCTTAGCTGAAGCTCCAGCTGCTCATTCTTATGTGGGAAAGTGGGTGTTGGTATAGGTCATGAATAGAGGCAGAGACATGAGAAGCAACAGATGGTCCTAAGGAAGGAGAGGGAAAATAGTAGAAACAGAAAAGGTGGGTTATCAGGAAGATGGCCAAGGGGTGGGAAAGGAGAAGGAAGAACAGAAATACAAACCTCTGAACCATGTATCAGAACACAAAAGTTCTGGAAGTCAGAATTTTTCATCACTTACTTAGCATCAGATCCTGACCCTACATGAGATATTTTGCATCGAAGCTTTGTGCATGCCATCAGATCATTTTTCTTCCACTTACAGGGGTTTGAATATGGAGGTCTGCTATTGCCCCACTGGGAGAGGCACACAACACATGATGCATGAGCCACGTTACATTTACAGACTTTTAACCATGTTAAAAGGCCGCCATAAATCAAGGACAAAAATCTGTGTTTGTGCTGTGTGTGCGGATGTGTGTGGGTTTGCATGTGCACGTGTGTGCATGCCCACACGTGTGCATGTATGGGAAGGCCGGAGGACAGTCTCGGGTGCTGTTCCTTAGGGACTGTCCACTATTTGGCTTGTTTGTTTTGTTATTGTTGTTTTCATTTTGTTTTGTTTTGAGACAGAGTTTCTGCATTGGTCTGGAACTCACGAAGTAAGCTAGGCTGCCTGGTCAGTGAGCCCCAGGGACCTGCCTGTCTCTACCTCCCCAGTGCTAAGAATCCAAAAGCTTGCTACCACACCGGGCTTTTTGGTTTGTATCATGAGTATTGAACTCAAGTCCTTGTGCTTACACAGCAAGCAATTCCCCATAAACAAAACCTTTAAACAAAAACCTATTCAGTGAGAAGGGTTTCTGGTGATAATAACAAATATATAATGAGAACCATTCTGAAACAGCAGCTGCTCAGCACTGTGCTAAAGCAGTCTCCAAAATTAACCCAATAATTCTTCACAATCATTCTTCAAAGACTTCTACTAGCATCCCATTTTACAAAGCAAAACGGAAGGGCCTCAGTAAATAATGACAGGAGCAGGGTCATTATAATATCAGATCTTGGAAACTCATCTTCAAGTCACAAGCAGGACCAGCAGGCCATCGGTGAGAAACATTTCTGAGTAACCAAGATTCAACTGGATGATCAAGCACATGTCAGAGTGATCCAATAAATACACAGTCCTTCCTTCTCCTGCCCACTCTGAGTTCTTGCTCCTGCCAACTGCCTGCTCACCTAATCAGATATCGGTCACAGAAAGGAGGGTTGTCATTAATGCCACGAATGTAGGTAGTCACTGGGATTGCTGCACATCTCTCGTCACCATCGCATGCCTTAATAGAGAAGGACAGAGCACTTGCAAACCCAGTTTTGTCCACATCGAGACGGGTAGTCGTAACCACAGTCCCTTTCTCTGTAATAAAACAGCACATCAGACTGGACCAGATTGTAATTTTTAAAACTATTTCATTACATGTGCAGTGACAGAAAAGAGGAAGTATAAATTCTGCCCTATTCTCTAGAATTAAGGAGCTGATTCAAAGTGAATGGATACTGTTAAATCATTTATCAATGGAATGTGCTATTAATCATATTATATTAATGATTGGAAGACAAAACTGTTCTGGCTGTGGAGAATAGGAAAGACCCTCGAGAAGAGATCCTTATTCTAGGACTTGAAGGTTATATAACAGAAGGGAATGTCAGCAAATGGGAGATGATTCCCTACAGAGAGAACCACAGATGAAAACACTGCTAGAACATAACTTGTTCTTCACGGTCATCCATCACTTGAGTCCAGCAGGTAATTACTGAATGTCATCTATGGAGCTACTATACTCAGTATGATGACATAAAATTGCCATAATTATGGAATTTATATTCTGAGCTTGGATACAACCTTCAACATGTTTAGGAAAAAAAACATTCAAGTGGTATGTTATTATGGAAATGAGTGATAAATATAATGTCATTTTTTACAGATAATAATGTCTTATGGTCAGGTGCTTAGAAAATGCAAGGGAGCAGTCTCAAGGCAGACAGCCTACTTGCTGGCTCAGAGTAGGAGGCAAAGAAAGAAAGAATCGGGGTGGCATAGGGATCCTGGGGAAGGTGGTGGTAGTTGAGAACAAGGCATGGGCCAGAGAAACAGGACCTCAGTGGAGCCAAATTTCAACTATAAACAGCAAACTGAGAGACTTTTTGAGGAGAGAAAAGATGACCCACTTTGACAATTCAAAAAACACTAGTGGCTCTGTGGAGATAGTTAGCATCTAATGGTAAAAGAGGCAGCCCTACTAAGAGATCAGTACAGAATCTGAGATCAGAATGTGAGTGAAATCAAGTTATTTGGGAGGCAATCCAGGGCAATGGGACATGGGGAAGAAAGGCAGGAAGAAAACACTCCCCATAAAAGTTCATCATCAAGCCAGTTACCACTGTTGGCAACAAGAGCCTCATGTCACTGAGGAATTCTGTGAGTCAGTGCAGATCATATTAAAAAATGTTCTATAGCAGGGAAAATACCTGGGGGATTTCTATACCAAGCAGACTTTTTCCAAATCAAGGCTGGGCTTCGTTGGAGAGAGAAGGGAATAAAGTTGTCAGATCCCAAGTGATCCTTCAAAGTAAGAAGTATAGAATAGGTACTGACAGTTGGAATCAACCTATTACTCTGAGCAGATACACGTAGGTCAATGACAGTATCCGCTTCAATGGCTAACCTGTGCTAAAGATAACCCAGTACTGTTCTTGACTCAGCAACTCCAGCTTTAAACACTTCGTAATTTGTGCCCTTCCCCTAGACTCCATGATTGCATGAGGAATAAAAGCTTAACTCTACCGAGTCCAATCAGGTACTCTCTCACAAACACTTGGCCCTACAGTAGAATAGCATTGAGTTGGGTCTAAGAATATGTACTAAAAAGGCATATACACTGTAGGGTTCATAACGTCCATAACAGTCATGAAGAGTATTAGCAGAAGAATAAGCAGGATGCTGACCCTGTAGCATTACTCAGCAGACATTTCTGAAGTGTTGGAGAGATGTTTTCTGATGGTGTTTTAGCCTGTTTACCTCCCCTCCAAAACTGAGTGTTTTGGTTGTGGGGGTAGATAGGAATACAACTGCTTAGGAGAGGACAGTGTTCAACCTACCTTTGTCTACTGCAAAATAATCATCTGCTGTATCTAGCCCAAAGATTAGCTCTCCCAGGTTATCTTCATCAGCTGCCTGGCACATTGCAATCATCTTCCCAACTGGAATTTCTTCATCCAGTGTGATGTTGACGTCGTGGTGCAGAGTAGAGTTTGTGGAGGTAACACGAAAGACCCCATTTTCAATACTGAATAAGCTTGTTTTAAGAGAAAAGGTTATCAGTGTGGCACTCACTTGCTGCCTTTTCTATACCTGTGGTGGTAAAGGCGTAGCAGACTGGATAGTGAGATGACAGGATGGAAATCACGTTCATGACAGAAGTATCTAAACAGACACTGACTTAGCTACAGTTTACACAAAATCCTAAGGCTTACCATGGGTTATTCGTTCTTCCCTAAGGGTACTTCTCAGGGAAGTGAGGACCATGCTCGTCTTTAGTTTATAGATATGAAAAGTGAGAACTGAGGAAATTAAATAACTTTCAGAAGTAAATATCAAGATGATTGAGAGAAGGTTAGCCCATACTCCTCCTTTGTTCTAGAACCTGTGCACATGACTGCTGTGTTCTTCACCTTCTGGGAAGAGTTAACTTGACAGAGCTGCTGACCCTCAGGGTGTTTCTCTAAACTCCTGTTACAACACTGACTATAGTCTCCCTTAAGAGAAAAAAGAGCTAAGGCAGCAACTCAGATACTAAGGATCTACTGCATGAATAACACCTTATTTTATTGCAATTTCAACACATTTTTGTATTTAAAACTATTTTTGCCTTCAATTTTAAATAAGCCTCTTCTTTTGACTCTTTTATCATATGTGGTTGTTTTTCCAATGCTTGCTTATTTTCATTCTCAGCTAAAAAGAAGAAAAAAGATGGAAGGAAAGACTATCTTTTCAAGGTCAAATCAAATAATATGTTGTGTTTTCTTACCTGCAGGCAAGAGTAGGGTCCTTATTGTTGACATTGATGAGGAAAATCTTCAGATTTCCAGTAGCAAACAATCCTCCAGGATCAACCACTCTAATAACCAGTGAAAAACTAAAGGCACAGCCACAAAAAAAAAAAAGACAGCAAAGATTTCATAATAAATAGTAGATATCCATAGAAGCAGAATCTATCAGACTTAACTGACCAGCTGCAGCTATTGATTTCTCTGGTTAAGATGTCAGTCTGACCAGTTATTTTAGCAGTTGGAAATGGCTAACACTTTCTAAAGAAACAAATGATTCAAATCACCTGACAGAAGAGGCAGTAATGTTTAAAAAGTTTGCCAAATGCAGGCTTTGGCAAAACACATACTAAAATTGGAACAGAACAGATTAGCATGGACCCTGCATATGATGACATACAAATTCCTGAAGTGTTTAATTTTTTTTAAAGTTTGTTAAACCCTGTATGTAGGTGTGGGATTGGGGAGCTATGGAAATTTCTTAGCATTTTGTAGCAACAGATTGCTAATAGCTGTGGGTCTGTACCATTTAAAGAGTAATTTCTTTTATTAAAAACCAATAGGTACTAAGACTCATAACCAAACCCTCGGCAGAGTGCAGGGAATCATGTGAAAGTAGGGAAGTTAGTATGATATGGAAAGGATAGGAGCTCTACAAGGACCAAATATATCTGGGCACAGGGTCTTTTCTGAGACTGACACTCAACCAAGGACCATCTATGGATATAACCTAGAACTTCTGCTCGGATGTGGCCTGTGGTAGCTCAGTAACCAAGTAGTTTTCCAAAGTAAGGGGAACAAGGACTATTTCTAAAAGGATCTCAAGGGCAGGCTGTTTGACCCCCCCCCCCAGGGGAGGAGCAGTCTGTTAGGCCACAGAGGAGGACTTTGCAGCCAGCCCTGAAGATACCTGATAAAACAGGGTCAGATGAAAGGGGAGGAGGTCCTCCCCTATCAGGGGACTTGGAAAGGGGCAGGGAGGAGACCAGGGAGGGAGTGTGGGGTTGGGGAGGGAATGAGGGAGCGGGATACAGCTGGGACACAGAGTTAACAAAATGTAACTAAAAAGAAAAATAAAATAAAAAAAAATAAATAAAGAGCGATCGACAGTTTAAAAAAAAAAAAAACCAATAGGTGCCAAGGACAAAGTGTTAGAAGCTACCCCAGCGTGGTAGAACACACTTGCCATGCTGCCATCCAGGTGGCTGAGGCAGGGGGATAGAGATTTCAAGGCAATAGCTTTAGAAGACTTAAGAATACAATTAAAAAACAGAAGAAGCCTTCAAAACATCAGGATAGTAACACAATTAATGAGTTGTTATTTCACAGAAATGGGGGGGGTGAGGAAAATAAAACTTTCTTATTCAGTAACAACTGCTTTCATCCCTAGACTGTGGTCCCCTTGTTATCATCTAACTTCTAGCATGCCCAGTGCTGTTCAGGTTTGATCCCAACAAACTCCAGCTTGTTGAGAGAGTTACTTTCCTCTTCTGAAAACACACACACACACACACACACATTATATTTTAACTTGAAATATACATGTAATTGAAACCAAAAGGCCATTTTCTTCTCTCTATAGCACTGTATAACCACTTTTCAATTTATTGCATAACTTCTATTTTAAAAATTTGGTGAAGTATGAAAAATATTGACAAAAACCAAAAAGCCAATCTGCCTTAAAAAATAAAGACATTTTAAGAAAATAATTCTAACCAAACACGGCACATGCCCTTAATTCTAGCACTTGAGAGGCAGAGGCAAGTTGAACTCTGTGAGTGTAAATCCAGCAGGTCTACATACTGACTTCCAGGCTAACCAAGACTACAAGAGGAGACCTGAATCAAAATAATATAATCCTGAGAAGTCTGAACTACAAGAACAGAACTATAGTATGAGCAATACTCACAGCACTATAACTCAAACTCAGATTTAGTTTTGCTGTGGCTGGATGATGAAAGGAAGTGAGTGTGAAGCTACAATGATCTTTCCTAACATCCTCATCAGAATCCAGGCATGTCATTCCATAACCCTACTCCTCCTCTCAAGAAAAGGACTTTGAATTTTTAATATTAAAAACCAACAACTGAAAAAATTAACTAGGCATTAGCGAGATGTCTCTACAGGTAAATTGATTGCCTCTGCCTGAATTTGATCCCTAGAACTCAAAGAAGATGGGAGGAGAGCACTAACATCATAATATTGGTCTCAGACCTCCACGGCCATGTGTGCCCTGTCATACAGCATGCCCATACACAAAACAAAGGTTGCTAAAGAGAAAGAAAATTGATTCAAAACCAGCTTTTAATCCACATTTTTCCTTACTTCACTAAAGGTCAACTCAGCAATCCAAGCAGCTTTTCAGGAAGGAAGGAAGGAAGGAAGGAAGGAAGGAAGGAAGGAAGGAAGGAAGGAAGGAAGGAAGGAAGGAAGGAAGGAAGGAAGGGATGAGCACTAGCAATGAGAATAGATGGCCATTTTGTCCAAGCAGCCATTAATACTCATTCTGCAAGCAGAGCTTCAGTTTTCTACTCTTGGTTTCTCTGGTTTCAGAGATATTAAGGGAAAAAAAGAAAGTTTTCATTTTTACATAGCCAGAAAAAGTTCTGTTTCCAAACTTTAGTTATTTTGTATGTGCTAACTAATCTTAAGATTCATAAATGCCTAGGGTGTTTTTGTTTTGGTCTAGGACAGTCTGGTGTAATCTAGGCTTGCCTTGAACTCCTTATGCACTCAGTGTTGCTCTTGAAATGTTGATCTTCCTGTCTTCCCCCCTGGTGCTGAGATTGTGGGTGCAGACCAGCACCCCTGGTTGACGCAGTGCTGAGGACCCCGAGACCTCATGTACGCTACACAGTCTACCAACTGAGCTACATCCCCAGCGCCGAGACTTAAGATTATCTTGATGATGTGTTTGTGGACTCGGAATCTCCTTCAGTGGGACCTGATCCATGAAACGTGTGGGCAGCTACTCTCTGCTGTGCCTTTGCTATCCAGGATGCTGCTCAGGATGTTTTCCATTCTCATCTTTCTTTGTAGGAAAAAATCACTTATGAAAGGCAGGAGAAATTTTATTAGAATGCCTTCTGAGTCCACTTTTCCTATGAAGCACTTTGATGCAAAATATAAAACTGAAAGGGGGTAGCCATTAAATCATTATAGAAATAAAAAATGCTAACTTCAGCCAGTGGTAACCTGCTTACCTGATGCAGAGGGAATAAGAAAATGACAGAGCACTAACTTTTCAAGGATGCTGATTATTACGTTAGAAAGCAATTCTATATTACAGGTACCTGGAGAGGTGACCTGCCCACTTCCATGGCAGGGTTCAAATAAAACTAGGAAAATAATCTTCAGGCTTCACATGCAGAGAAGGCCCCCACAGACACCCAAAGCATCAAAGATACAGTTACAAATGAATGCTAATCTCATTTTTAAGGCAGTACCAAGAGCAACTTCATGTGAGGGCATATTAAGATCAGAAGAGGAGAAAGTTTTTCAAAAGTGGAGCTACAAGCCAAAGGACCCATATCTCCAGAGAAAACCCAGCACAGCTTTACCTTCTCATGCCCCTCTCAAAATCCAAAGCTGTTGCTGTGGAAATGGTCCCACTGCTATCAATGGTGAAGCTGGAGCTTTCCGGGGAAATGAAGTACTGTTTGTTGGATAAAAAAGAGAAAACAAAATATTGCAGAGACACAACTGATTCCCTGGTTCTTCAACTCCTAAATGCCAACTCTAAAATCTCTGTGTACTCTGGGTGGCTCATCAACCATGGGTCCCCAGTTTATAGATGCTCAGAAGATATGGGCAGCTGGTTGTTGTTGATGATGATGATGATGAAGCTGTATTGTAGTTAACTGACTTCAGATCAGACAACATGCTCTTAAATGCTAAAAAGAAAAAACCAAACTTTCCTGATGTCTACATTGCCTAAGTGTTTCTTATAGTACCCCTCTCAAAGCTAAAAGTGAAGAAAAAAAGAGTTCCATCAGGAAACTATGTCAAGTGTTTAATGAAGACCGAGATAATCTGCATGGGGAGTGAGCATAGGTTTGCAGATCTGGGGCGAACCCAAGGAGCTAAGAAATCCTTAGCATCTGCTCATTTGATTTTGTCTGTAAAAGTACAATGTTTTATCAAATCTTTCCATGCCTTTCTAACTTTTGACCTCATCTACCTTTCACCTGTTTTGTTAAGTGCTTCAAAATCAAGGGCATCCTAGGTCATGGGTGCTGATGTTCTCCCATTTCACAAACAGGAAATCCAAGGCTTGGAAAATTCCAGTGGCTTGACCTTGACCTAAATCCCTAAGACAAGCTCCTGCTCAATGGAGCAGATGAGGCAGGGTTACTAATATAGGTGAGCAACAACTTATAGAAAAAGCCAGGAGCACAAAAGAAAAACCTGCAAGAGCCTCAATATGAGGGATTAATTATACCAAGTGCTACTGACTTAATCATCATGCATACCCAGGGATAATTTAATAGAGAAAATTAAACCCAGAAGGACTGAAAAGTAGACTAAAAATCATTTGGAGAAGTTAGTGACCTTTACATTGATTGATTTTCTGATGAATCACCATATTCTGACTAATTTCAATTCATGCCTTCCATGCCTTCCTGTCTAAATAAGATGGAGCTGATTGTTGCTACCTCTGTAGAGCGATGCAGAATATTAGCATGCAGGAATGGCAGGCAAACTCATCACATACTTACTTTTAGGACAAACATAGAAATAATGATGCCAGATTAATAAGGCAGTGACAGAAGATGGCTGGAAACTGAATGATCTAAGAGGCCCACCATCACTGTCTGCCTATATCCAAATACACATGATTTTTTGAGACACTCGCATTTCTGTTGGTAGCTACTCAAAATCTGCAATTTCAAATTTAAGTGTTACATGGTTATCAACACTTTTTCTTAAAAAAATATATACATTAGAAAGTTGTGTCTTATATGGTTGATTTCCCATAAAATAAAGTACTCTTCAAAAGAAGATCTTTCTGGGAAGACTGGAAATGGTGGTTGCTAAGCAGCAAAAGAAATCACTAGGAAGGCCATCTGAATGAAGAATGCCTTGAACAGGAGAGCAGTCTGAGGGATGGGAAATTAATTCTCTGGGGCGAGGCAAATCATACTCAATGTCCTGGGTCTTTTCTTTACCGGGATTTAGTCTGTAATGGCCGTAAATTTATGGAGAATTATTTGACCATAAAAGTAACACCAGCTTCCCGCCCCCTTCTCAGATTACAAGGCATGAGAACATGTTCCAGGGCCCAGGGGATGCAGAGGAGGGGAGTGAGCCTACAGTCTACCTGAAAGAACTTAACCCACTTTATTCCCTTCTTTAAATGACTTTTTCATGACTATTTGTTCTCAAGGCAGCTTGGGAAGTAGGAACGTCTGACCTAAAGTTCAGGAAGAATTAGAAGTCCAAAGCAGGCTACAGGAGCTATGGTTGGATCTTCCCACACCTTGAGTATCAGTCATTTAATAATAACTGGGTAAGTAGATAGAACACAGGCAGTAAGAAGGGGAAGAAGCAAAAAATAATGAAGAAAAAAGTTAACTGTTTTGGGAATAAAAGGGCAAGGTAGGGCTGGAAAAATGCCTCAGAGGTTAACAGCCCTGACTGCTCTTCCAGAGGTCCTGAATTCAATCCCAGCAACCACATGGTGGCTCATAACCATCTATAATGAGATCTAGTGCCCTCTTCTGGCCTGCAGGCACACATGCAGGCAGAATACTGTATAAATAATAAATACATTAATTAATTAATAAAATCTAATAAAAAAGGAAAAGGCAAGATAAAGGAGTGCTTGTGGAGGATAACTAACATTACTTTTTCCTTTTTGAATTTATTTTTTAATTTATTACAATTCATTCACTTTATATACCAGCTGTAGACCCCTTTCTCATCCCCTTCCAATCTCGCCCTCCTTCTTGTGTCCTCCCATGTTCCTTTCCCCAGTCCACTGATAGGGGAGGTCCTCCTCCCCTTCCATCTGACCCTAGTCTACCAGATGTTAATCAGTTAGAGGTCCTGCAGAACTTCCAAACATTATAGACTATTGCCATTGTTCTCTACTGCCATGAAGAACTTAATGGAAAGACTTTATTACTAAAGACACTACACGCTTTAGTCACAGGACATAGAGAAATCAAGATGGTACCTATCCAGAAGCTGCATCCCTACTGGCTGGCTTTTGTAATGATGGAAGGTGCTATTCAGGTGTCTGGGAGGGAAAAGAACTTGGCCATTCTCTTTGTGTAAGTAGGGTAAAATCTCAAAATAGTTTTGATTTTCATTTCCTTTATTACCAAGGATATTGAACATTTAAGTGTTCCTCAGCCATTTCAGCTTACTATTTCGGGAGTTCCCTGCTTAGATCTATACCCCATTTTTAAATTCGATTATTTGTTTTCTTGAAGTCTAGTTTTTTAGTTCTTTATTTGTTTTGGATACTATTCCTCTATCAGATATGTAGCTGATAAAAGTATTTTCATATCCTGTAGGCTGCTGCTTTGTCTGAATGAGTGTCCTGTATCACACAGAAGTTTTTCAGTTTCATGTTGGTTTTAGTGCCTGTGTTAATGGTGTTTTGTTTAAAAAGTCTTCTCTTGTACCAATGAGTTCAAGGCTATTCCCCCACCATCTCTTTGAAATTGCATATATCTGGTCTTATGTTGAGGTCTTTGTTCTATTGGAAGTTGAGTTTTGTGCAGGGTGATAAATATGGCTTTATTTGCATTCTCCTACACGCAGCCATCAAGTTTGGCCAGCATCATTTGTTAAAGATGCTGCCTTCTTTTCTAGTGTGTATATCTGGCTTCTTTATAAAAAACAAATGTCCATAGATGGGTAGATATTCGATTCCATTAATCAGCATGTCTGTTTTGGTGCCAGTATCATGCTGTGTTTATCACTATAGCTCAGGAGCACAACTTGAAACCAAGTATGGTGATACCTCCAGCAGATTTTTGTTGTTGGTTGGTTGGGTTGGGTTGGTATTTTTGTGGGTTTTTTTTTAGGGGGGATTAGTTATTCAGGAGGTTTTAACTATCTTGCGGGGGGGGGGTGCGTGTGTTTCCAGATTAACCTGAAAATTGTTTTTTCAAGGCTTGTGAAGAATTGTGTCGAAATTTTTATGGGGATTACATTGAATCTATAGATTGCTTTTGGTAAGATGTCTATTTTTACTATGTTAATCCTACTGATCCATGATCATGGAAGATATTTCTATCTCTGATATCTTCTTCAATTTTTCCTTTAAAAATTTGAAGTTTTTATCATACATTTCACTTACTTGTTTAGAGTTACCCCAAAATATTTTATGTCTTTGAAGATTATTGTAAAAGTGTCATTTCCCTGATTTCTTCCTCAGTTTGTTTGCCAAATTGAATATAAAAAGGCTACTGGTTTTTGTGACTTATTTTTGTATCCAGCTACTGTGCTGAAAGTGTTTATCAACTCTAGGAGTTTTCTGCTAGAATTTTAGGGTCATTTATGTATATTATCATATCATCTGCAAATAGAGAACTTTGACTTCTTTCCTTTCTACTTGTACCCCATGATCTCCTTCAGTGGTCTTATGGCTCTAGCTAAGACTTCAAGTACGATAAGAATAGGTCTGAAGAGAGTGGACAGTCTTGTTTTGTTCCTGATTTTAGTGGATTTGCTTTTGAGTTTCTGTCCATTAAGTTGATTATGAGCTTGCTGTAAACTGCCTTTATTATGATTATGTAAGTCCCTTTCTCCCTAATCACTCCAGGACTTTTATTATGAAGGGTCATTCCTACATCTAATGAGATGATCGAGTTTTCTTTTTTTTTCTTTCAGTTTGTTCATATGATGGATGGCACTTATCAATTTACATATGTTGAACCATTCCTTATCTGTGGGATGAATCCTACTTAATCATGGAGGTTGATTTTTTTATGTGCTTTTATATTCAGTTTCCAAGTATTTTATTGAGTAATTTTGCATTTATATTCATAAGTGAAATTGCTCTGTAATTCTTTGTCTTGGTTGAGTCTTTATGTGGTTTATTTATCGGGGCATTATGTTGTTGTGTCCTCATAAAAATAATTGAGCAATGTTTCTACTGTTTCTATTTTGTGGAATAGTTTGAAGAATATTGGAGTTAACTCTTCTTTGATATTCTGCTAGAATTCTGCACTAAAACCATCCCTAGAATTTTTTTTTTTTACAAGACTTTTAATAACTGCTTCTATTTCACCAGGGGTTATAAGTCTACTTAAATTGCTTATCTATTTGGTCTTGATTTAATTTTGTTAGGTGATTTATATTAAGAAAGTTTTCCAATTCTTTGAATTTTCCAATTTTGGGGAGTACAGGTTTTAAGGTATGTCCTTATGGATTTCCTTGGCATCTGTTGTTATGTCCCCTTTTCATCTATAATTTTGTTAATTTGGACCTTCTTTCCTCACCTTTCAGTTAATTTGGCTAAAGGCTTGTCACTTATTAATTTTCTCAAAGAATGAACTTTTTGTTTCATTGATTCTCTGTATTGTTTTGTTGTTATTGTTTTCTTTTCTGTCTTGCTGATTTCAGCCCTGAGTTTGATTATTTCTTGATTCCTTTGGGGCATTTTTTTCTGTTGTTCTAGAGCATTCATGTGTGCCACTG